AATGGCGTCGGACATCGATTTCCGGTCTCTATACGTCACCACGATTCCGAAAATACCCATATTGAAGGGTATTTGATAATGTTTATCAGATTTTATTATAACCAGAAGCTGCCATCTTGGATTTCAAAATGGCGTCGGACATCGATTTCCGTTCTCTATACGTCACCATGATTCCAAAAATACCCATATTGAAGGGTATTTGATTCAACAATATTTCACAATTATAATGTAATCGGAAGTCACCATCTTGGATTTAAAAATGATGGCGAACATTGATTTCCGGTATTTAGACGTCATTCTCGTTCTTAATATACCCATACTGTAAGGACAGAAATCAATTTCCGGCATCTACACTTCGTCCCCGGTCCGAAATATAAATATTGATTCGGATTGGAATGTTTTTTTATTTTGACCATTTGGGAGGTGAATTGTCCGTTGTCCATTATAAAATATATTATTTCGTACTGTCATTGATACAGAAAGAATCCCTATCTCTATCATGTGATAGTTCAACTATCTGATGGACCATATATCATGATAGCTAAAGGAAATGATATTGTTTCTATCGGTCCTATCCCATCATTGAGTCTATCTATCATTTTTTCTATCATGATAGTATCAAAGATGCGATAGGGGTTCTATCATGATAGACTGAGAGAGAATCTATCAGATAGAAATCTATCACTGTGATAGGCCTCTATCTGATAGATGATATTATCACCATTTATCAGATAATTTTGATACCTGACCTGGATTACTCTGGCTTTTCATGAAACTTGTCATAATTCACATTGTTGCTCAAAATTTGGCCATTTTGGATTTTGTAAAATATTCAAAATGGCGTCCTTGAAATTTTACAAAAAAATGTAGCGTGGAACACTTTCTGATCCAAATGACAAAGTTATAGAGAAAAATAATATTTTTTGGGAAAAATATACATAATAAGGTTTTCAGTAATTTCAAGTGAAAATTAAAAAAAAAAATGTTTAAAACCTAAATATCTCAAAATTTTCAAACTTGAATTTTTTTTTTCATAAGAAAAGCAAAATAAAAAAAAGCTATAAATAGTAGAACAAGAACTTTTGGTCAAATTAAAAAAAAAAAAATTATAGTAATTTCCGAAAACTATGTTGGAAACATTTTAAATCATTTTCTGTGAAAAACTACACAAAGTCCTTGTTCTACGATTTTTGTCAGTTTTCAAGTGTTCGTGGTTTTGACTATTCCAAAAGTTTAAATTTTTCATAAGCTTTTTTTGGGACGAAAAGACTTAAAATACCGGACAAGGACTTCTGAAGATAGGTCGAGTTTCGAACGCCTTTGGATACGGTTGTGTTTTAAGTTTGCTCTCTGTTTTGTGCGTGCATTCGTTTTCATAGTTTCGGCTGCATTTGCCGGATTTACGCTGGCACTCTGCCTTCCGTGTGAGTGGTGGTTTTCTCACTTTCCGAGAAGTTTTAGAATTGAGAAAGAAAACATGATTCATAATGTTTGCAAGCAACAGAAGATTTGACGCTATCTGCGTTGTTTGATTTTTTTTCCCGGTCCAGAAATTTGTGGCATCGCGAGTGATAATTTTAATTTTAGTTTATTTACGCGGTGATGATGTTGGTTCACTCGCAACTTATCTTGAAAAAAATAAGTGTTTTCGAACGAAAATGTACCAAAAGTGCTTCTGAACGTGTTTCGCAGTTGGGTGTGGTGAAATTCGTGCATTCCCGGTTGATTGTGGAAATCCATTTCACAAAATTGCCCACCGATTCCTTTTTTTTTGCCGTTCGACGACGACGGGCGTGCTTTCGCGAGAGTGACGTTTATTGGATCCGTTTCTTTGCACGGGTGTGTTATTTTTTGTAACTAGCGTAAAGGCCCACGCACATTAGATCCGGATCGGACGCGTTGCGGCAAAGTGACAGCTAAATCTAAATCAGTCTAACTGTCAAATTTACGTCAACGCAACGCAAACGGATCTAATGTGGGTGGCCCTTAAGTTTTCCTGCGATTTGCATTGAGTGGCGGAGATTGTGAGTAAGTTGAAGGATGTCTCGCTGGATACGCCCAAGACTGGACGGGCGGTAGCTAGTGGCCGTGAACGGTTCCTTAGGGAAAGCACTAGATGCGACCCTCTTCCCAGATGACCATGGCAATACAGGAAGTATTACAACAAAGGTAATTGCTATTAGATATTTTGCAAACAGTGACAGATAGCGGACATGAAGAACCAGAGGCGGTGCCGGGCAAAGGTGTTTATCCTAGACAAATGGTAAGTTACAAATTCGCTGTTGTCGTTGTCGTAGACGCTCTCGTAGTCGCTGACGTAATCGCTGCGATATTATGAATTATCGAGTATTTCTGTTGTTCATTACATGCCAAGTGAAATTCGAGAACGTAATTTCATTTGAATAGCTTGTTTAACCAGGTCTTAAACAATCGTCACGTCGGTCATAGCTTGTTATGACTGCCTGAACCATGCGTAATGAGAAAATCGAAACAATGAACGTCGCGTGAAAGTGGATCTTAATGAAGGCCTAAGTACTCTTTCGTAGCTTTTAGTTTTAGGATTTCAAAGACCGTCGGTTGCAGTGGCTTGCTTACTGAGGAGAAAAACGCGGTCCCAGATCCTTTCATATTAAAAATGCATGGTAAGATCGCTTTTTTATCGTGAATTTTGTAAAACTTTTCGTTGTCGTCGGTGCTGGGTTTGAATAGTTATAAAAACTTGAGTAACGCTATAATGTGATATGAGAGGCTCGGTGGCCTTAGAGCAACCGTTTTTGCTTACTGAGCAGAACATCATGAGTCTAATCTCAAGCCCATCCACATTCAAGATTCGTCAATGATTAAAAAGGAGCTCGTCTGCCTAGTGGCAAACGTTTTTGCTTACTGAGCAGAAGACCGTGGGTTCAATCCCAAGCTTCTTCGCGTTATACGATCGTTAGGACATCAATTCAGCTTATCGTTTACCAAAACGAACCCTGCTGCTAACCCAACCCTCTTACCCAACATCCCTGTGATTCCTCGTGGAAGTGCAGAGGACTCCTCGGCTTCCATCAAAGCGAGTGTCACGTCACCACATTCCTACCCCTTCCTTTCTTGACCTGTGTTCGGGCGCGGCCGGCGCTGGTATTGCCTAGTTTGAGATCACCAGTTTTTACACATTGAGGATGATTGCTAGTCCCAAGCATCGTCTATTGGTTCTCTGTGTAGTTACTGCTGGTCTGGCAATAACAGAGTAGCAACCGTGGGCGGTCAATCATGCTCATGCAGACAAGGACTTTTGAAAATATTCTGGTTTATTTATTTTTCTTATTAAAAACACTTTTTGTTTATTTATCTAAGAATTAAATGGTTTTCTCTATAACTTTGTCTCAGACATCATTTCAATCACAAATCACACTAAAATTTTTTGTAAAATTTAAATGACGCCATTTTGAAAAAATTACAAAATTTGAAATATTCGAGTTTTAGCAAAAAAGTTTACTTAAGTCTATGACTTTAAATATATCCCGTTTCTGTGAATTTTCTATCAAATTCTGCTTTTACTGTTTGCTTTGTTTTCTTAATCTAAACATTTTTCCATGTTTCGAGAACACCGGAAAAAATGTTAAGGGAAGACCCAAAAATGACGCAGCATTTTAGGGAAAGTATGGAGGGAGTCCAAAGTTAAACGTTTGCGTACAATTGAAGAAGCGCCAACTTTGGTCTCCTTCCCCCTTGTAGGGTATTTTTCTTCATGGTTGGTCACCCTAAAATGCTACGTCATTTATAGATCTTCCCTAACTGAATTTAATGATTCGTTCATATTTCAAATTTATGCAGAATAGTCAACAGATGCCCCCTAGTAGATCCGCCAGTGGTTCCAAAACGTACCTATTCCCATTTTCACACTACACATCATTTATTTCATCTAATTGGCTTATGGTGTAGTACTATCTACGCTTGCTGAGAAGTTTTTATAATCTGTCGGTTGAGTACCCAGCACAGTTGACCGTTTCGATACCGATACCGATACGATATTTCAGTTGAAGCAATTCAATTCAGGCTACCATGCCTCTCCATCAAAATCGCCCATTCATTGAAACTGGCGTTACAGAAAAAAAAAACTTCTGGCAACGAGAAGCATCGTTGTTCATCGAAGCTCACTTCAATACGGCCCTTCAATTGCACAGCCCAGTCAATACGATTGACCTCGATGTCCAACAAAGAGAGGGTAGATTTTCTATTTGATCAAATCCTGCTGACCTCGTGCTCTTGTCGTATTGGAAATTCCAGGAATTGATTCCGATTCTTGTTCGATTTTTTCCCCGTACAATCCACGCTCGAACGGTATCATACACTCACCAAACATGGTCGCGTCTTTCTCGCTAATTAATAACGCAGTGAATCGATGCGGCTCACGTTCTCTCCCCTACTACATCCTGCTACATAGATATCAGCAAGGAGCAATCGATCCCAGTAGGCGTTCTCTCGTTCAGTAGCCGAACGTGGTCGAATTAATTAATCATAATTACATCATCGTCTTCGCATCGAAGCAGGCATGGATCCTTCCTGCGCCCGTAGGCCTACTATTGCTGCTTTATCGGATGTCTTTCCCGACATGCAGACCCCCCTTCCCGGTCGAAAACAATAATGACACCGACACGCGGGCGACGTGCAGATGAGATAGACGATCGGCAATCCGATAGAGAAGGCCCATCTAGTTAAGTGGTTCCGTGTGCGATTTGTCACGTTCAGAACGCTCGCGTTGGGGTGCGTGTGTTCAATCTTGCTGCTAGCTACGACGAGGACGACGATGAACGGAATAAAGGTGTGCAGGACATCACACAATCGATTGCTAATTTCTGTTCCGGAGACACGACCACCCGGGAGCAATGCCAAATTGACTTGATTGAAGATTTCCTTTAAATGCAGTCGCTCGCTCGCTGGCGACGAAAACAAAGCTGGTACATGGTTTACCTAGAACTGGGGAGATGCAAAAAAAAAAATAACCAACAAATTACCTTCACTGTCTGGAACACGTCTATCGGTGGCATTCCGACGTCACCTTTGGAGCCCTTGTCGCCGAGTCGTCCCTGGAGAGGCAAACAAAACAAAGATTTTAATTGAAAAGTTTTACAGCCCTTCCCCGTTGGGACGGAGACCGGTCGCACAAATTGAGCGTAAATCCAAACGGAAGCTACTATTAGATGAACACTTACCGGTTCGCCCTTGGGACCGTCCAGTCCGATTGGCCCCTGGGTTGTGTATGACATTGTTTTTGTTTTGGTTCCGATGGCGGTGGTGGTGGTGGTAGTAATGCAAAACAATGGACCACATCGTCGCCATCCCGAGAGAAGAGGAGGTCAGTGTCCAGTGGTTTGTCGTCGTAGTTGTTGAATGGAAGAGAGAGCAGCATAGGGAAAAAAAGAAGAAAGAGGTACAATCCGATTAGTTTGGTCTCGACGAGATGAAGCATCTGTTTTTGTGTGTGCTTGCTCCGGCTCGGCTGCTGGTGATGTTGGAGAAGAGCTACAAAAAACAGTGCGTGTTTCGTTTACTTTTATCGTTGGAAAGATAAACAGAAAAGTCATAAATTACTGCGGATGGTTGGAGATGCTCGGGAGCTGATAGTAATAGACAGCCCCGAGGTTTCTGTGAGTGCATAGAGAGATAGGGAGCCAAAACCAGACAAGCAGGCTGTGGTCTTTTTAGCATCAGGAACCAGTGTACATAATCCAAGCAAGGATGGAGGATGAGGTGGATGCGATGGAGCAAATGGATAAGTGGTTGGGAGTCAAATGGGAGATGCAACATGCGATGGGTTCGGGCGACAAATGGGTTTGGAGCGTTGTTTTAGTTTTGAAATTTTAAACTAGATTTGATCGAACGGTCTTTGCCTCAAGTTAATTTGATGGTATATCTTTGTGTCCTTAAATGGGAGACAGAAATGCAGAAAACTTGGACGGAGGATTTTGAAATTTGATCTGAATTCGAATTACGTTGCAATAATTTAAATTGTAAATCAAAAATAAAGCCGGTATAAAAATAAAGTAGGACAATTTAAAATGATTCAAAAGTTGCTGAAAACTTAAATAAATTTTCAGGCAAATTGATGATAAATGTTTACATTATTTAAACATCGTAACGGACTCGTCATGTTAAGCTTGAATTGTTTATTTTTTTTCAGCACACCATCCTGGTTAGACAATTGACCTAGACTGATGCAAAATTTGAAATTCTTGCTCCACAGTGTTCAAACTGTTTTACATCGGGTCCTGATTAGCCTCCAAAAGTTTAAACTCATTTGATTAGAAACTGACTTGGCACAAACCATTTGAAGTTTATATGGAAATTAATATGGGAAAATAAAACTTTTTGTTCATTGTCTTCTAGCCTTTTTACATATTGTACTGTTAACAAATTATATTGCTTTTCTTATGGGAATTTTTATCAGCTACAACTTTGCAGAAAATCGATTTTCTGTTAAGAGATGTTTAAGAGATTTATAATCTTATGGCAAGATTAAGCAACTGTATTGTGGGCAACACTGTATTCTGCAGTGTGACATAGTAGCCATGATTTTTGTCCATTATTCTACGCGCCATAAACACCAATGTTGCCTGCTGAACAGTTGATTGAGCATAATCATAAGACATCGGTGACTTGTATCATTAATAACTTTTATTCCTTAGATTTGATCGAAAACTGGTCTTCAACAAAGTTGTATCTGAAAATTTTAAACAAGCTCAGCTATTATTTTCTAAAGTAGAGTGAACTGGTGAATTTTGAGATAGATATGAATCTAAATTATGGTTTCCCCATAGTAATTCCCATATAAACTTCAAATGGTTTGTGCCAAGTCAGTTTCTCACTAAATGAGTTTAAATTTTGAAAGGCTAATCAGGGCCCAATTTGGAACCGTTTGAGCACTGTGGAGCGAAAATTTCAAGTTTTGCAGAAGTCTATTGACCATTCAATTTTTGAAAATAGCCGTGTAGAGAACAGGCTTCCGGGAATCTCACGCGTACACAAATGCGACAGCGAGCTGTGAGACAGAGCGTCGCATGACTCTCAAATCCATGGTGTGCTACATTAATTGTACAAAAGAGAGACCAGAACGATGCGCGCGACAAGCTACACGCTCTCAACAAATTCAAGCGTTTCATTTTTTTTGTCTCATCGCATTGCTCTCTCAATGCGACGCATGTATTCAATCACATGCGACTGTTTCATTGAAACATCTCAATGCGCTCTCTCAGGGCGCCATCGCCGTGCGCTGTTTCGCATGCCTTGACTCTCGCGGTCCCATCATATGTGATGTTGTCGGGTGACGAGAGAAGGGACTGCAAGGGTTTGTTCACAGAAGACTTGTGTGCCCTTTTCAAATGGGGTGAAGTTTTTAAATGGTTCCAGAAATATCTTCTAGTATAGATTCAAGCAGACTCAACACATGGTTCCAGAGTTATACTGGAATCACCGTAAGATCACCACTCATGATCCTAGGAAGACGCAATTGCTTGTCGAAAGGATGCTAAAGGAAGGTAAAGGAAGACTACGTGAGCGATGGATGGCAACCTTACGGTAGTTGGGATCAGGGATGGAAAATCATTTACATTCATTTCGTGCATTCATTTGCATTCATTTGTCTGGAACTTTTTCCATCAGCAGAATACCGTAAAATGATGTATGAAGCTTTTGTGGCTTTTGATATTAACTACAACTTTTGTAAATAATTAAAATCTGAATCTCTTATTCATGACGAACTAAAACTGGCAGCACATGTTATTGTTTTTCAGTGAATGCAATTTACATTCACTGAAAAACAATGGTGGGTATTATCGCTCTGATTCATCATGCATAAGAGATACCGATTTGAGTCATTTACAAAAGATGTAGCTAATATCAAAACCTTCAAAAGCTTCAAACACTATTTTACGGAATTCTGTTAATGAAAAAAGTATGAGGCAAATGAATGTAAATGAATGCACGAAATGAATGAAAATGATTTCCCATCCCTGGTTGGGATACCGTTAGCATGTTAGCACCCCAAATTATACCGGAATATCTGTGGAACTATGTGTCCTTCAACAAGTCCTTATGCGGAAATCTTCTTAAATACATTTTTTGGAAGCCTCTGAAGCTTTCAGCCCATTTGGTGGAAAAATAAACAAGTTATTGCGCATTTGCACCAAATTAGACTCAGAATCCCTCAGAATAATTTTACTGAGACCAGTAAAAATATAAATAGACGATTTAGAATGTAAAATAGCACTACATTTTGCCATACAAGATCATATAGTCGGCGTTAAGTCAGAAGCGACTTAGAAGGAAAAAAAAAAAAAAACAAAAAATGAGTTAATGATATCATAAGATCAAGAATTCCCTCAGCTATATTTCACTTTTTCAGCCAGATTGGAAAAATTAGAGTAGCAAGAGAAAACGGTCAAATGATTTGTCCTATTACATAAGACACAATATTGAACAGCCAACTTTAAATTCGTTTTTCTCGAAATCAAAAAAAAAAAATGTCACGGTTCGGTCTGACTTGACCGATCATATCAACACGCTAGTAATAATAGAACTCTGAAGATTAATATTTGTATTTTGTCTTGCTTGAGTGAACACTATTTTAAGGGATTATTTTCAACGCAGAAGTGTACTTTGCTGCAAAAACGTTGGTGGTGACTTCTTATTACATACACACAACTCTACACTTAAAAATTAACCAAGTTTAACATGTTGTAAATTTGTTCTGTTATGATCAATTGAGTTGATATTTTGACTCAAAACTTGCTTTTCCATTGACCTTTGTCCGATCAGCTATGCACAAATTTAAATTTTATTGTCACCTTCCAGCAGGTGCTTCAAAAAATTTGGTATTTCTTACACGTGAAATTCAACATATTTGTAGTTTTGCGTCAAAATTTCAGCCCAATTGATCATTTTTTTTTTTTTATAATTACTTTATTTGTACAGGCTCAATCGAATAAACTTTACAGAGCCGAGTTATCTTTTGTGGTATACATTATTACTGTCTTAAATTTAAAGTTAAAGGAACTGGACCGAGTACTCGCGGTTGTCTCGAGGTTAGTGGAGATTTACAATTTTTTGGATGGGAAAAAGGAAGAAGGAGGTTTGAAATGTGGATTACGATACAACTATTTAATTAATCCTAAAGCATGAAATTATTTCTATTCATCTTGAAAACAAACATCGAAAAAAAAAACCCACACGTACAAAATACAAACTAAGCACGAGGTTAATCAAACTTACAATCTAAGCTAACATATATGAGTTTCATAAACTCCAGATCGCGTCTAGCCAAAATATCCCGAACTGGAACATTAGGTTGTCTACCTCGAGCCCGAAGGGAATCATAAAAATGTGATCTGACTCCACGATACTCCGCACAAGACCAAAGGATGTGATCAGCGTCCTGGTAACCTTGTCCACATTCACAGAGATTGCTGTCTTCCAACCCCACACGGAACAAGTGAGCGTTTAGACAATAGTGATTGGACATGAGACGAGACATCACGCGTATGAAGTCTCGACTCAAGTCCAACCCTTTGAACCATGCAAACTTCGACACCTTAGGGATACTTGAATGTAGCCATCGTCCCAAGCTCCCTTCACTCCATTGATGTTGCCAGCTAACGAGCGACTGCTGACGATAAATAGAGAAAAATTCACTATAGGCGATCTGTCGATCATAAATGTCGCCTTCCATAGCGCCCACCTTCGCAAGTGAATCCGCCTTCTCATTGCCCAAAATTGAGCAATGCGAAGGGACCCACGCGAAGGTGAAAGAGCGCACGGATAAAGTACTAAGCAGTTCTCGTATTTTCAAGAGAAAATACGAGAAGTGCTTTACCGGCCTAATGGAACGGATAGCCTCGACACAACTGAGACTATCCGTAAAAATAAAGTAGTGGTCTGGAAGAAGTGAAGCAATAGTTTCCAAAGTGTAGTGAATTGCTGCCAGTTCAGCCACATACACAGAACAAGGAGCTTCAAGTTTTCGAGAGGCGCTATGAAATTCATTAAATACACCAAAACCAGCGGACTCCTCTATTAGAGATCCATCTGTGAAAAACGTTCTTGCAGAATCAACATGGCCAAACTTTGCAGCGTATAATGACGGAGCAATCATAGGACGATGATGCTCTGGAATTCCGCGGATTTCCTGCGTCATAGATAAATCAAAATTCACTGAATTGCCGAAATCGGAGAAGATTACACGATTGGGAATATT